CGTACAGATTACTGACGACTTTCCACTGTAGTAGAGGCACAAGAGATGGAGATACTATGGTCAGGTCTATAGAGGAGTAGGTGTTATTAGCGAGGTTATAATAGGTTGGTACTTTTCGATTTAGGAGACACGCGCTCGATGAGATAAGGAACTGTTCGATCAGCCGACCTCGCGCGTCATACCGAGAGTCACCCCATAGCCTGCTATGCGCATTAAAGTCTCCAAGGAGAACATAAGGTTCCGGAAGTTGATCAATTAGAGAGTGTAAATCACGTTTTTGCAGCTGATAGCTAGGAGGAATGTAGATAGTGCAGATTGTGATCAGTTTATCAAAAAGAACCGCTCGAACAGCCACTGCCTCAAGGGATGTTTGTAGTTGTAGGTGTGTGCATGCAGTTCCTTGTTTCACTATGATGGCAACACCTCCGGATGATGTCATGGCATCATCACGGTCCTTTCGAAAAATAACGTGTTTGCGAAGAAAATTTGTGTGTTTTGAATTAAGGTGTGTTTCTTGTACACACAGCACTTTTGGTGTGTGTTCGTGTAAGAGTTCTTGGATGTCGTCAAGGTTTCTGAGAAGGCCCCTGACGTTCCATTGTATAATTTGAGTGTTCATGGTGAATGTAAAATAATGCTGTGTGTACGAAGAGCGAGTGGCTGTTTAGACGGGGAGTTTGAGTTCACTTAACAGGGCCATCACCAGGCCCTGTTATTTGCTTTTTTGTTTTCTTGGCGCGCTCCAAGGAGCCACGCCGCTCTTTCGGCACCAAGGGTGCCGACGTATCCATTGCCTCCTCGGAGGCACTGGATGCCCGCACGTGCGGGCTGTTAGTTCGGATTTTAGGCCTCGCCTGGTGAGGGGAGGCCTTGAGACCCGAAGACTCTGGAGTCTCCGGCCTCTGTTTGGGAGCAGGCGGTGTAGCCTGGGCTACAGCCGCCTTGGGGGCAGGTGCCACAACCGCCGGCTCGGTATGCGCGGGCCGAAGGTGTGGCGAGGGCTGGTGCGGCGGTGCCCCCTGACGCGCCGCATCAGCGTATGTAGGTCCATAGAATGGAGCGACTCTTCGCCGTGCTTCCTTAAACGTAATGTTCTCCTTCACCTTCAATGTAATTATTTCTTTTTCTTTTTTCCAGTAGGTGCAGGAGCGTGAATATGCGGCATGGTTTCCTTCGCAGTTTACACAGTGTGGCGGTTGTTTGCAGTTCTCAGACACGTGGCCTAGGACTCCACATTGTGCACAAGTCTGGCGACCACGACAGGTTTTAGAGCCATGGCCATACCTCTGGCATTGGAAGCAACGACGAGGGTTTGGTATATACGGTCTGATAGATGTCTTTGTGTACCCTGTTTGTATGGAATCTGGTAGTTTACTGGATGCAAACGTGAGTATCAAGTGTTTCGTTGGTATTTCCTTATTATCTCTTCTGATTATAATTCTCTGTACATTATTGACATTTTGGCTCTTCCACCCTTCCAAAAGTTCAGTTTCGGTGAGTTCAAGTAAGTCTGCATCAGATACTACTCCGCGAGTGATGTTCATGGATCTGTGTGGTGTTACGGTGATCGGCACGTCACCAAACGTTGAGAGGCTGTCTAGCTTTACAAATTGTGCTTTGTCCCGAATTTCGAGAAGAAGGTCTCCGCTAGCCATTTTGGTTACTTTGTATCCAGCCCCGAGAGTTTCATTAAGACACCTGGCAACTACGAAAGGAGATACGGTCCTGGCTTGCTTTCCGGTTTTTTCGCAGTGAATGACGTGGAAGCGGGGAAAAGTTTCTACTGGCTGGTTGAAGAAGTTTATGTCGTCGGTGCGTACCCGCTTTAGGCCGGTACGATCAGACAGTTGAGGGAATGCTCCATGCATGCCGGTCTTATTTTTGTTCGGCAGCGTTGGCGGCCACCCACCACGGAGCCCAACGAGGGGACGCTACAAGTTTACAGATGCTGAAAACTGCAGACGCCAGCCGTACAACGCCACTATAACCCAATGCGCCTAGACCAAGGTAGGCTATTTGCACAGGGTTAACCCTTGCCGCCAGGAAAATTGGAAGTAAACAGAAGAGAGAAGTAGACAGGAAAGCTAAAAAAGTAAGAAAGACGAAGATGTAGGGAGAGAGAGATAGGAAAAGGCGACTGCCGATTTCCCCTGGGTGGGTCAGCCCAGGGGTGCCGTCTACGTGAAGCCGGGGCCAAAGAGGTGTGTTGCCTCTGCTGGGGGGCCTTAAAGGTCCGATCACCCAGCGTCAGCTCAACCCCCAGGATCCCCTTTTCCCCGGGCACGGCAAAGCCACGCACGGCTAGGCGTGGGAGGGAGTAGAAACTCCCCCGTTGGCTCGGGTCCGTGGTGTCGCTACACACCAAACGCCTACTTGCGCAGGCGCCCCTGCGGGGCGGAAGAAACCATAGAAATCCGAGAGTCTCCTGGACAATGCAAGAGACTAGCAGGTATGTGATGATATCACCAATACATATTGTTGTCTCCTGGTGGCAGAATATAGCAGAACGCCGTTTTTGTGACCTCCACGACTAACTATGGCAGTGTGTCATAGCCAATTGCAGAGGCCACGCTGTTTTACTAATTCTAATTTTTTTATCAAAAATAAAATATTTTCTACGAAATTTCAGGTAAGATTCGTAAAATTGTGAGCGCGGACAAAATTCGTATATTTTACAGGAAAATGGGTAAAGTTGGCAGGTATGCTACTATCACACCACTCCTTCATACAAAGAACTTGGTTTGAAATCCATACTTGTTTCTTGTAGATAAAAAAAAAAGGTTATGAAAAAAAAGTATAGGCAAGAAAGGCACACTGGGCTTGATGCCTGAGAAGTCAAATATCACAACACAAACCTAAGATCACAATTTTTAGGAATTTTAAAGGCGTGAAGAGAAAGTGAAACTTCAAACGCAGTTTTCTCACTACTGTTTTTTGGCTATAAGCTAAGCTTGTGGGGAGCAGATATCTCGGCAACCACTGCCCAGATTTTGATTCCGCTTGTTTGTAACGCTCCTTGAACTGTGCTTCAGGGGGCTGCGATCTTAGTTTTTCGTTTTACTACCTAAAGAATTTTTCATTAAGTTTCTTGTTTGTAGTGCAAGTGTGCTCATTGCAGCGTCGCTGGAAAAAAAGTTAATGACAAAATTTAGTCTTGCAAAAAATTATTTTGAAAACGTGGCCCTCTTCAGCATACATCTGGCTTAATGTAGAAATATATGAGTGCACAAGGTAGAAGGAAAAGGCACTTGACAGGAAAGACGCTCTTTCCTGTCAAGTGCCTTTTTCTTCTACCTTGTGTGCTCATATATTTCCACATTATGTTGTGTCAACTGGCCCAGCATTACACTTTATTATACGTCTGGCTGTGCGTTCAGTAATTACCAACTATTTTTGTCATTTGGTAATTCCACCAGCCCCTCGACGAGGTTCAATGAAGAAATAATTTGTATCTCATTAGGTTTTTGTATTATTGCCTCAAAATATTTATGGAAGCACTGTGATGCCATTTTTAGTGTCTGCACCAATTTTCATCAACATCTAACCAGAAAAAAGAAAGTTCCATTTCAGGAGACACAGCCCCCTTTAAAGAGAGTAAAAAAAAAATCTTTGCACTTTCATGTAATCCGCTCAAAAATTAAGTCACATTATCCTTCAAAACAAAGTCCCTTCCCCTCCCCCCTCCCCAAATAAGAACCTAATCATGCCTACACAATTTGCATTCTTTCCTCTTCAGTCAACATGCAACGATACCCTGGTTTATTAGAAATATGCAACTGTCGGTGCACATGCATTGTTTAGTTTGGCCACTCTGCAGGCAGGCAGTGAGCTTTGTTTACAAGGTTAACTGCCATAAAAATGCAAGTTGAAAACCCCAAAGGCAGCAGATATCATCAGGAGAACAAGGAAAGTCAATCGAATCGGTGCAATGAAGCAGTCTGAACTAAACTGCCCTAAAGCATTCAAAAACAGTAGGAAGGGGAAGATGAAAGCTTGAGATGAAAAATCCATAAACAGGGGTTGTGTCGAGTTGATGTTTCGAAAAGTGGACTTGCCTTCCTCAAGGCTCTGCAACAACAATTTTAAGAACATGCAAAAGTAAACTCTCATTTCACCGCCCAAATTACACCTTGCTCCCATCCAAGATGCAAGACTTTCAAACACCTTCAAGATAACGTGATAATTAAAAGCACCGGGAGTGATTATGTCCATCATATAAAATCAAATTTTACTTGCACTAGTGAAAACGTTATCTACATGATCGAAGGTTCATATTGTCAGAAAAAGTACATTGGCGAAACAGGAAAGCCTGTTAATGTTGAATTAAATGGTAATCACGTGCACGCGGCAAAGAAATAACCAAAAGCAGTGGCTCAGCATTTTAATGAGGCAGACATTCTTCACTCGAGCTTCCGGTCCACAAGAGACAGAAAATGTACGGATTCGTAGCTTTTTCACAAGTTCAATACACACTCCAGCCAGTAGGTATTAACGTTTATAGCGGCAGTCTTCAATCCAATCGATATGCTAGATAAACAAAGAAGACCACCGCTAGTTAAGCCCTCCGTCAAGGACTTTCAAAGCTGCGATTGTTAACTTCTAACAACCGGTCTGACAACAGAAACTCCGCGGCACGTGTGCATACTCACCTACCCATTGCTTCCTTATTTTCTTTTTATTCATGAAATGCTTGTTTTTTTTTCACTCGCACAATTTGCCCCAGACCCCCCCCCGTCTCTCGTGCTTTGCCCTTTGTCCTTCTTTTGCTAGGATGGACAAGCGGGTACGAAGCGCAGGCACGCTAGCGCTAAAGAAATAGGTTCTGTTCTAGCCCTGAGGAAGACAAGTCCTGTTTCGAAATGTCGGCTCGTCACAACCCCTCTTTACAGATTTTTTTTATCTCAAACACCAAGCAAGCCAACCAAACAAACTATTGAAGTCTCCTCCGGGGTGTTTAGGCCCAACAATGCTCCAGTCTCTGGTAGTGCCTCAAGCCTAACCTCTGCCTTGAGCTTGCAGTTCTCCTCCTCCAGCTCGTGAATCTTGCGGGTTAAGGTGCTCACTGGAACATCGTCATCGCTGCACAGGCAAGTGAAAACACTGTTAACAATCTTTGACATACACAGACCAAGTGGCACAGCGGCAGACTTACAGCAGAAAACAAAAAAAAAACTTTCACCTCACTAAATCCCCTCCCGTCTCTGCTCAGTGATTATTCTACAGCAAGACCGAAGAACGTGCTCATGTTTAGAGGTATAAGAGCTAGGCTTGTGCCAATATTTAAACAAAAGTTACAGCATTCGAATTCACTTCAATTCAAATTTAGATGACTGCAAATTTTCAAGTACGCGAAATGAATTAATAAATGTATATTAATCTGCATGTAAACCTCCTGTAAGGTGGTTTTACTGCACTGGAGGGGTGCTATCATGAATAAAGGAGAGGCACATGGCGTGCGCCAATTGTGGAAGCGCTGAGACGGTGCGGAAAAAGAAAGAAAAGTCACCAGAGAGCATGTGCACCAGCCGCTTAAAGGCAAAACATTGGTCACAGAAGGACTCGTGGCACGCGACCCAGGCTGGGAGGAAAACCCCAGAGGATGACTTGGCATTGTGCGTTGGCACGCCTAGCTGCGAAGACGTGGGGAACGAGTGTCGCTACCGCGGCAGGAGCAGCGTGATTGCTCGGTTTTGAGGATGTCGGCCTGAGAGGCTCAAAAAGTGGCAGTGACCTCGGAGGTTCCGATTGAAGCTGCCTGGACTTGCCGCACCCTTGCCCAGCAGTTCCTGGTCATCTTCCAGCTCTCCCACTTCACGGCAGCATAGCAACTGCCGACACCAGTCAGCAGAGCAGACTTGCCATCAGTTAAGCCCATGACAAAACTAAGCCTAGCCTAGCGAGGCCGAAGAAGACGACAGAGTCCGAAACACCGGCAACGACAAGCAGCTTGTTCGGTGGAACCGACCGACAGAGGCAGCAAAGCGGTTGAGGAAACAGTCAACAACATACGTGACAAACCTCGACACGGCATTGGAAAAAGGCGGACGTGAACCGTAAGGTCGTTCGATTGCGATGAGGCTATATTGGATTAGGAGCAGTCACTAGGGCTAAGAAGAGATTTAGACTGGTTTCCAGACTATTTTGCTTGTGTAGTTATAGGAGTAATTTTTGTGGCAGTAGTGTTGATTTCATTTTCACTTTTGATTTTGTGCCTTTTATCTTTTGGGTAACAAAATGTTTGTTTTTTGTGCCAGGCCCGTCTCTCGACTCTCTATTCCATCCGATGCAAGCGCTTTCGAGATGAATTCGTGACAGGTGCAAAGCCATGAATACGCCCATCCAGGGCAAATGTGCACTGCCGCAAAACCCTACTTCAAGGTTAAATCAGCATATTGATACAGAAAAGCCACCGCAGCCTTTATGCATGAAAGAGAAAGAAGACGACAGTTACTGGTTGTTGATGAACTGGTGCCATCTTGCTTTCCAAGCTCTGTGCATTATATATAGATAAATAAATAAGTTACTCGTAACATTATTGGTGGAGGTGGACGACTTTCATACCTCAATAGAGACGCGTAGCGGACGCAACACCGGGGACCCCTCGGCTATTTCAACTGCCAGTACCTCATCACCGCCGACCCCTTCAGCAGAGTCCACAACCTGTGCCACCCTCCCGCCCCTATGGGATCCTGGCACTTTCTCCACTGATGGTACCATCCACGCTGACTCCTGGTTGCACCGGTACGAGCATGTCAGTGCCACCCACCACTGGGATCGCATGCTCATGCTCACAAATGTTCTGTTCTACTTCAACAGCATGCCACGAACATGGTTCGAAAGCAACGAAGCGGAAATCACGAGCTGGGATCTCTTCGAAACGAATATCCGTGATCTTTTTGGAGATTCATCTGGTCGCCAGCTCGCTGCCAAGAAGACTTGCCACTCACACCCAGACGTCTACTGAATCGTGCGTCTCATATACTCCTGACGTCTTGGCACTTTGTAGCAAGGCCGACCAGCGCATGTCGGAGGACGAGAAAGTTAACCATGTCTTAAATGAGATTGCTGAAGATGCCTTAAACCTGCTGGTATTTATTAATGTCACAAGCATCAACATGGTCTTGACAGGAATGCCGCCGTCTAGAACAGGCTAAAGCCCACCAGTGTCACCCATGGCATCACGCGCCTGCCGAACACAGCAGCTACTTCCTCTTGCGATGACGCCTTCTGCCAAGTCCTGCAATGTGACAACCTTGCCCGCATCACTCGTGGCGAGGTCGAGGCAGCCCAACCAGTAGTCACTCCATTTCCAACGACTGATCCTTCACCGACCACATTCCCACTAATACAAGCTGTCGTTCGGCAAGAATTATCGAACGTCAGCCTACATCCTGTTCAACCAGTCTACTCTGCTTAGCCTTTTTATCATCTTCCCTCCGCTCCTGGCTTTGGTTACAACTATTCTTGGCAACACAATTTGTCTAAGTGATGTACACTGGGCGACAAGCCCATATGCTTCAATTGCCGACGCGTCGGACAAATCGCTGATCACTGCCACAATCACTGGGCTCCACCGGCACACAATGGGCCTCCACCCCAGGCCACTTCTGTCTACCAGTCATCCTCAGCATTTGATTCCCCTATGCGACCACATTCTCTGCGTCTGCCGCACTTCTGACAAGACCTCGCTACGCCCACTCACCATCTCTTTGTTGCCGTCAATCTCGTTCGCCCCCACAATGTCGTCCCGCCTCTCCGACCTATTCGCAGTACCCCCCGACTGGAAAACTAGGCAGTGCAGCTTCTGGAGGTGGAGCTGCATCGACGACGACTTCTGCTTGAAATCCTCGTGTAAGATTACCAACCACCCAGAATCTTTTGAATGTTACTTCAGACAATGTACCTGTGCGCGCGTTGATTGATACTAGGGCGCACATGTCATCATGAGTGCTGCTCTTCGTCGCCGACTAAAAAGAGTTGTCACAACCGCCTTGAACCGAGCTGTTCGAGTCGCCGATGGGGGAACTGCCACTATTATTGGCATGTGCACGGCCCGTGTGACTATTGCAGATAGAAGCACTGCTATTCTTTTCACCGTTATCAAAAATTGCCTTTATGATCTAATTCTAGCTATGGATTTTCTAACCACTCATTCTGCCCTTATAGACTGTTCAGCCGGCTGTCTTGACTTTAAGATGTCTCAACTTTCCGATCAGATCGACCCATCTTAAAGCCATCTCTGCTGCATCAATTTCATACACCTTCTGCCTAACTGTGTTACACACATCGACCTCTCCTCTACGCCACGTGTACCTGACTGCGATTACATGGTTGCACCAATTCATGTCGTGATGCTTACGCATGGCGTCGCTGTTCCGCACACGATTTTGACAATTGTTGGAAACCCCAAATGCTTTCCACTAATCAATTTTGCCCTCCCTGCCCAAATTGTTTTCCAAGGTATCTCCCTGGCCGAAGTTACTGCCCCACAAGACCATACTGTTGAGCCCTTCAAAGTAGGCGATTGCTGCAGCTCAAACCGTGATCCAACCCTATCACTTTCATCGGGTGTCGACGTTGAACGCATGGTGCCATCAGACCTCACTCCTGATCAAGCTGAAGCCCTCCGTTACATTCTGGAGTCCTATCGTGACATTTTCGACTTTTCCAGCACGTTCTTAAGCTGAACGAGTTTTGTTACTGATCACATCAATACTGGCGACACGAGTCCAATTCACTGACGTTCATACCATGTTTCCGCGTCCGAGCATACAGTCATAGAGCAGGAAGTCGAAAAGATGCTTGCAAAAGACATAAGACATAATCAAGCCCTTGTACAGCCCCTGGGATTCTTCAGTCGTCTTGATCAGAAAGAAGAATGGAACTTTTGTGTAGATTATCGGCATCTCAACGAAAATACGAAGAAAGATGTTTACCCGTTGCCTAGAATTGACGCCTTAGACTGCCTTCACGGTGCTACATTTTTTTTCACTATCGACCTTTGATCTGGCTATTGAAAGATCGCTGTCTACAAGATGGACCGCAAAAGGAGCGCATTAGTCACTCCTGACGGTCTATCATTTCAAGGTTATACCCTTCGGTCTCTGTAATGTGCCGGCCTCATTCAAAAGAACGATGAACTCATTGCTCCAACGGTTCGAATGGTCAATCTGCTTATATTGTCTAGGCGAAGTTATCGTTATCTCGCCCACTTTCGACTCCCATCTTGATCGTTTATCGGCGATCCTTGACGTTTTCCGTTGAGCCAGACTTCAATTGAACTCTTCGAAATGCCACTTCGCTGGTCATCAAATAACCGTACTTGGCCACCTTGTCGACAACGCAGAGGTCCGCCCGGATCGCGCGAAAATTCACGCTACTATGGACTTTTCTCTGCCGAAGTCCACAAAGAACGTTCACAGTTTTCTGGGGTTGCACTCTTATTTCCAACACTTTATTAAGGACTTCTCAACAATTGCACGCCCGCTCACAAACCTCCTGAAGAAGGACGGCCCGTTTTCCTGGGGCGCTGATCAAGCCTCATCTTTTTCCCAGCTCACGACCCTGCTTACAACACCGCCGATTTTAGCTCAATTCGATCCATCAGCTTCAACCGAGGTTTGAGCTGACACTAGTGGGCACGGCATAGGAGCAATGTTATTGCAACACCAAGGTGGACATGACCGTGTTATAGCCTATTCAAGCCGACCCATATCTACCGCCAAGCGCAACTATTCAATCACAGAGCGTGAGTGCCTCGCTCTTGTGTGGGCGGTCGTCAAGTTTTGCCCATACTTCTACGGGCATCCATTCCGTGTAGTCTCCAATCACCCCGCGCTCTGCTGGCTAGCCTCGCTCGAGGATCCCACAGGACGACCCGCTCGCTGGGCCTTACGTTAACAAGAATACACATTCACCATTATGTACAAAACAGGGCAGTTGCATCAAGATGCGGATTGTTTGTCCCGCTACCCTGTGGAAAAAGCCGCCCATATTGACACCTTTCCAGACATTCAGTCTGTGACGCAGCTACTGAACCTTGGCAACCAACAACGCCGGAATGCTTCTCTGCGAGCCAT